GCAACCTCTGCCTCAGGTTCAAGAGATTCTCCTGCCTCAGCCCCCAGGGTTGCTGGGATTACAGGCATGCACCACCACACCGAGCTAACTTCTGTATTTTAGTAGAGATGGGATTTTACCACGCTAGCCAGGCTGGTCTCGAACTCCTGACCTTAGGTGATCTGCCTGCCTTGGCCTCCCAAAGTGCTGAGATTGCAGGCGTGAGCCGCTGCGGCCGGCTGGCTCTTGTAGTCTTTTAAAACAGTTACTGAATTTTTAATGAGTTTTCAATATTTATAGATCAGTAGGTTTTATGTGAAATAGCAGGTTTTTAAATTTTCTTGAAAAAGGGGATGGGCTGGCTGCATTGGTCCACATTCTAGCATGGCCCCTGGACCTGAGTCGCAGCTGCCTTCTTCTGGACACACACATTCTAGCTTCTCTCCATTCTTCTTACTTGGCTCTTTATGTCCTCTGTTTAAACCTGTTTTTCCTTAGTTATTCATATGGCTTGTGCAGCTCCTGGAAGCATCTGTATTTGTAATGTCCAACCCAAATGGTCTCCTTGATGGCAACAAGTTGGGGAGAACTGGTTGTGGCTTGAGAATTTTCTATTGCTTTCGGGAGGATGTCATACATCACGAGACACCAAGTGCCCAAAACAACAAGCTGAGATCATCAGATGAGACGGGACTTTCTGAAATTGGGAGCAAAGGATATTTTAAGGCTCATTTCTCTCAAATTTCTTAATAATCTGCTGCTTAATATGGCAAGTGAATGAGTATGGTGCCAGAAGGATAGCCTAAATGGGGAATATACTGTGAGTTTGAGTTTAGAAGCCAGAGGATCTGTATTCAAATCCTGGCTCTGAACTTTGATAGCTGTGCAATCTTGGCAAGGTATCTAACCTCTCTGTGTCTCAGTTTCCTCATCTGCAAAGTATAAGATTATTAATACTACTTATCTCACAAGGATGTTGGGAGGATTAAATGAGATAGTACATGACAAGCACTTAGAACAGTGCCTGGCATAGAGTAACCTTTTGTTACGGACTGAATATTAGTGTCCCTCCAAGATTTATATATGAAGGCCTACCTCTCAATGTGATAGTATGAAGAGGTGGGGACTTTTGGAGCTAATTAGACTTAGATGAGATCATGAGGGTGGGATCCTTGTGAGGAGATTAGTGCCCTTATAAGAAGAGACAAGAAAGCTAGCTTGCCCTCTCTGTCATGACAGGACATAGTAAGAAAATGGCTGTCTCCAAGCCAGAAGCAAGCCCTGGAATCAAATTGACTTGTACTTTGATCTTGGACTTGCCAGACTTCAGAACTGTGAGAAGTAAATTTCTGTTGTTTAAGCTACTCAGTTTATGGGATTTTGTTATAGCAACTTGACCTAAGACATCCTTCAGTAATTCATAGGCATTGTTTTTACTATTCTTTTGAGATGAACTGTGAAAAGGAAAGTAAACTACCTTAAGGTTCTGACAGGCGAATTGCACTCTATCCTCTCTGCCCCATGTCACAGACTCCAGGAATCCTGATGTGAGTGTGGAAATCCCAGTCAATCTTTGTGAATAACATGGTGCATCATTTGATTGATAGATACAACACTGAACCTACCTGTTAAATCTACAATGGCTTAAAGATTGATCGTAAGGCATATCGACAAGTCTATTCATTCATTTATTTATTAGCCATCTCTGTATTTATTAAATGTCTATTGAGCGTTTACTATGTTCCAGGTACGTAGACATGGAAGTTCATGTCTTGGTTTGGGATTAGAAATAATCACTGGATATTTCTGTAATATAGTACCTAAATATTTTAATTCCTTGTTTATTAGAAGGAGCAATCCATGTTTCCACTGGACTATGAAAGAGCTACTTCTAATCTGAGGCCACATTATCTACATGAAATAAATTACTGTTAGGAAAATGCCTTGAAAAGAGAAACAAGACCACAACTCTTAGAAAAATTCTGTAAGTACTCAATTTATTAATAAAACAATATCGTTTAAATATTTATGATTTGTTTCAGTTATACAATTATACCATCATTCCCAAAATGTTGTGCTTTTGGTTAACATGTATTTGCAAGATTAGGATCTACAATTGCAACTATGGAAATCATACAAGGCATTTTATTTGCTTGTTAATACTGCTCCCCCCTTCAAACAAACAACAAATTTTGTTGTTTACTTGTGATTTACTTATCCATCTATGTGACCAAAAATACACTCCACTTTTTGCCTTTTATGCTTGCAAAAACACTTGTCTGTTTCTCTGCAAGAAGATCACACAAGTTAAACATTCATTCTTTTGGTTCCAGACTGGCCAGCTTATAGTGAAAGAAAACACCTCCATCCAGTAATTCCAGGGATTTCTGCTTATAGAGTTTGCTCTCAGAAGTGACAGAAAGGAGAAAGAAGCTCCCACACTAAGCTCAAAGGTGAACTTAGTGGACCAGATATCGGGAGCTGTACTGCATGGCCATTTGCCATGGGTAAGTTTCTATTGTTGTGGTTCCAGTGAAGACTCTTTGAGGTCACTTCTAGGGATTGACACCATCCATGCAGTGATGTGTGATGCCACTTTTAAGAGGGCAGGGACTGGCCAGGAAGAGCACTTTCTAGTCTTGCCTAAGGAAGTGGTGTGAGTATAAAGCAGCGAGACTGATTTGAGGTGTGCAGCTTCTGGAGTCAGTCTTATTACTTTCTACTCACCTCTGAGACAGGCAGGACTTTTATGCTACTGTCGGGAAGAGGTGCTGTTCTCAAGCAGACTAGAAGCTGCCCTGTTCTTGATAGTCTCCATCATGACACCCTAAAGTCTAGAACCTCACTCCTCTTGATGTAGTCCAGGGACTGCGTTAGCATCACCTGGGACTTTGTTAAAGATGCAAAATCTTGGGCCCCACAGAGACTTACTGTATCACAATCTGAATTTTAAAAAGACTGTCAGGTTATTTGTGTGCACAGTAAAGTGTGAGAGGTGCTGGGCCAGATGATTCAGACCTACCTCAAAAAGACCCACCTCAAAAAAGAAGAGGTGGATAAACCTCTTCGTTAGTAGAGAGACCATTCTCAGTAGGGAGGAATTAGAGATAACAACTGCAAAAAGTGTGGGTTTTTCTTTTTTTATTTTAAACATGCAAAATACAGTCCATGCATCTGCCATTTTAAAAAGTCTCTCATCCTATAGCAGATAAAACCAAGTATATTTTGGCTATCAACATTCAATAAAGGTTTCAAAATGCTTTAGAGTGTAAAGATAAGAAATTTAGCAAAATTTCAACAAACATGTATAAAAAATGGATACAGATACCATTATATTTCAAGGCGACATGCTGTAAATAGTAAGTTATTATTATCTGTATTTCTTTGTAAAAAGTTAACAATACAAGGGTTTAACAGATCCAGGCCTCAGGGCTACACATGCAAAAAAAATGTCAGATAGTTAAAAATCACCAAAACGTGCTATTTTTAAATGTGTATGTGTTGTTTTCTTTTTAAAGTATAGGAGTAGAAGTATTAAATATGAAATATTAGCAGGAGTAGTATTTCAGAACTCTGTAAAACTGTGTGGGAGTTCATGGTGCTAGTGTTCTAGAAGAATCATACATTTCTGATGAACATTTTGGTTTAATTCCTTTGCCATTGTAATAGTCCACAACTTGGTTTGGGACTTCAGCCAACACGCTCTTTGCCAGGGCAGCTGGAGATGCCTGTAGGGAAGAAGAAATCATCATGACTTTGGCTTACGGTCCAAGGAACCAGGCTCAACCTAAAAGGCTTGAGTCGGAGCAACTAAATTTCATTTACTTTCATTCATTCATTGTTTGTCAAGGGTCTACTTCAAGCAAGAGTTATCAGATTATTGGAAAATTGACCTTTAATTTCATTATTATCTATTTTATGCCTGTCTCAAACTATGAAACGATTTACATCTGAAGATGAGTAAAAATTGGATGGGAGAATGAATTGTTCTGCAGTTTTCTTTCTAATTGGCAGTCAATTTTAGGCACTTATTTATGTTCCAGGTGCCTCACTAGGGTTTAAGGGTCTATCCTACAGTTCTTGCCTCAGGAAGGTTGTAATCACATGAGGGGAGCTAGGCATGGCCATTATTAACCCCACTATGCGGTAGAATATGAAATATGCTATAGAGCAACAGCATCACATCACATGGGAGCTTATTAGCAATGTAGACTCTCAGACCCAACTCAGAGCTAGTGATTCATATGCATATTAAAATTTGAGAAGCACTTCTCTAGACAGTCACAAACAGTGAGGCCAGGGCATAAAAAGCAAAGAGACTAACTTATCTTGGAAACTTCCAAGAGGAGGTGGCTTTTAAGCTGAGCATATTTTAACACACAGAGAACGGGTAGGGGAATAGCATTTGACCATTCTAGGGACAGGGAGTTATCTGACGGAGCTGCAGGAAGTGTGTATGGTGGGTTGTGGGGGAGGGGGCTGTTGGGGAGATGCAGGATTGGCTGGGCATTTGGTTGGAAAATTGGCTTGACTCTAGGCGATGGAGAGTCTTGAATACCACACTAATTCATTTATCCTTTATTCTATCAGCCTTGTGGATCTACTGCATGGTTTAGGGACAGTGGCACAGGAGGACCATGTGATTCATGGTGATGATTCTGCAGCAGAGAAAGGTTGAGGCTGACATCATACATGGACTCTGGAGTCATGCAGAGCCGGACTTTACTCCTGGCTCTGGGTTTTACTACTAACTGTACAACCCCTGGGCAAGCAACTTCAATGGCCTGAGCCTCATTATTAGCTATTATGGAAGGATTGAAAACTTGAGGTACACTTAACAAATGTTTGAGATTCCAAAAGAAAGAGGGCTGGACTAAATACAATGTAACCTGGTTTTCAGTTCTTTCTTTCCTGTGTGGCTTGCCACTTGGCCATTAAACTTTGCTAAGCCCCAGTGTTCTTAGAGGCAAAAGAGAAAAAAAGATTCCCTCTATATCACAGAGTCTCACAATGAGAGACATGTGTCTTTAAAACAATCTGAAAACACCGTAAAGAGTTTTCCTAATCTTTCACATTTTGAAGATATCATAGCATGATGGACATTTGTGATCTACAGATGTCCCTTTATTTTATAAACAACTTCAGGGTTGCTTGTCAGATCATGGTCCATGTGAATACCGGGGCAGATGCGAAAGTCGTTTGTACCCTTTTCTCCCTGGCTGTTTCTCATACAAGGGTTAGAAAGTCAAATCCTTGATTTTCCAGCTTCCTTTACATCTAGGGATGACCATATGACCCAATTCTATCCTTTGAGATATAAGGGAAAATTTCCTGGGGAAGGTTTTTTGGAAAGCTTTTCTTTACTGGTTAAAAGTTAAGACCTTTTCCTTGTAAAAAGTCTTTAACAATACAAGAGTTTAATAGATTCTGGCCTCAGGGCTACAAACAAAAAAATTGTCAGATAGTTAAAAATCACCAAAGCATGCTATTTTTCCAAGGTGTATGTGTTGTTGTTTTTTTAAGTACTGTAGTAGAAGTATTAAATATGAAATATTAGCAGGAGTAATATTTCAAACTCTGTAAAAGTATGTGGCGGTCATGGTGCCAGTATTCTGGAAGATTTGTACATTTCTTTCTCTTTCTTTTTTTTGAGATGGAGTTTCACTTTTGTTGCCCAGGCTGGAATGCAGTGGCACGATCTTGGCTCACTGCAACCTCCACCTCCCTGGTTGAAGTGATTCTCCTGCCTTAGCCTCCCAAGTAGCTGGGATTACAGGCACCTGCCACCATGTCTGGCTAATTTTTGTATTTTTAGTAGAGACAGGGTTTCACAATGTTGGGCAGGCTGGTCTCGAACTCCTGACCTCAGGTGATCCACTGCATTGGCCTCCTGAAGTGCTGGGATTACAGACATGAGCCACCAAGCCCGGCCTTGAAGACTTGTAAATTTGTGATGAACATTTCTGTGTAATCCCTTTGCCATTGTAATAGTCCACAACTTGGTTTGGGATTTCAGCCAACATGCTCTAGACACAGTTGACTCTATGTCCCTCTTCTCTTCCTTTTTATCTTGAAAAAGAATGTGATTCCTGGAGTTATAGCAACCACTTTATCATTATGTAGGAAGAGCAAAGAGAATCACAAAGTGCTGGCTCTCGCACCGTTGTATCACTGATGTCAGCAGCACTGAGCCCCTAACTTCTAGTTACATGAGAAAAATGTTCTATTTATGTAGTTCAGGGTTTCTCAATCTTGACACTATTGACATTTGTGGCTAACAATTCTTTGTGTGGGGTACTGTCTGGTGCATTGTAGCAGCATCATTGGCCTCTACCCACTCTATGAATAGTGCCCCATATTTGTCACCATCAAAAATGTCTTCAGATATTCCAAAATATTTCCTGGAGCATACTGTTACCCTTGGGTTAAGAACCATTTATGTAATCCTTGTAAGATGGATTTACTGTTGTTTGCAGTAAAAAATATTCTTAGGCCAGGCTGTCAAATAGATCTTCCTCTGATGATGGTAACATTCTATATCTGTGCTGTCCAATATGGGAGTTCTTAGTCTCAAGTAACTATTGAGTCCTTGAAATAAGGCAAGTCTGACTGAGGAACTGAGTTTGAAATTTTATTTTCTTTTAATGAATTTAAATGTAAATAGCTGCACATGGTTAGTGGCTACCATATTGGAAAGTATTGTTCCCAAAGGATTCCCCCATCCTCTTGCATATCTGTGCAGGCAAGCAAATAAGGCTTTTGGGACATGTATTGGATGGGAAAGGGTTAAGACTATGAATGAAGCTGGTAATAACAGTAATAAAAACTCTATTTATTAACCACCTACATGGACCAGGCACTGTCTTAAGCTTTATATAGACAGCACCTTATCTTTGCAATGGATGTATCATTTATCTCATTTTATAGATCAAAGTCTGTGGCATGAAGAGGTTAAATAACTTGCCCAGAGTCACATAGCTTAAAGCATACATAGTTTGAGTGTGTCTCCTAAATTAATGTGCTGGAAACTTAATTTTCAATGCAACGGTGTTGGGAAGTGGGGCCTAATAAGAGGTCAGTATCACAGTAGCAGGTTAGTTATCATGAGAGTGGGTTGTTACAAAAGACAGTCTGTCCCTTGCGCTTTTCTTCTCTCTGTGTCTTCCATGTTTGCTTGTGCCTTCCATACTTCTGCCATGAGATGACCCTTGCAGATGCTGGTGCTATGCTCTTGGACTTCCCAGACTCCAGAACTATGAGTCAACTAAACTTCTGTTCTTTATAAATTACCCAGTCGGTGATATTCTATTACACAAGCAGGAAAAAAAGACCGTAACTTCACTTGGGCCCTGTAAACTCTAAAGCTCTGTGTTATCATGCAGAGCAGAAAAAGAGAGGCAATTCATGAGTTAATGGCTTACATCAAATGATTTAAGCTGCTACCTTCCCTTTTATTTATGGCTTATTGAATTCAAAGTAGATTAGTTTAGGTAATGAAATGGCTTTCAAAATTTAATTTGAAATCTGTGAAGATGAGATGGGTGAGTATGCTCCTGGCATTCTTCCTTGGTCATTCACAGAGCTGCCAGAGACTGTAGCACAGAGCCTGTGAGCAGCACTGTACTTCCTTGCTCTGCCCCGAGGATTCCTCTTGTTGCCAATGCCCCTGAAATTCCCTGCTCTTCAAGGCTCTGTCTTTCCTCAAATACGTAACTTAAGCTGTAAGCCTTTTTCCATGGCTACTTCTCTCTGCTTTGAGGTCCCATAGCAACATGTTAATTCTTCTCAATCATCCACAGGTTGCTTAGCATGTGATTTTTCTGCTGACACCTTTGTCCCAGTCATGCAATTCTCCAGTAAATATCTTGAGGCCTGGATCCATGGTTTTATCATTTCATTGTGGTCCTAGAGACTAGCATGTACCTTGTACAGAACAAGCATTCTATGAGTGTTTGGGGGAAGAGGAGGAGGCTTGAGGGTAGAGGTTAGAACCTTTCATAGTTCAGTGACATTGTGTTAGTACACAAGTGTGTGGGGGGAAGTAGGGAGGTGGGGGATGCAGAGGAGAGAGACAGAGAGAGGGTGATTTGGAGAAATTCATGAATCTCTTAGAGAATGAAGTCTTTGATCCTGCTTCACTAGGCAAAGTTATTGGTATTCAGTGATGTGGCTACCTGTTTGTCTGGATGAAAAGAGTATAGCATTAAAATCAGGAAGAACTCCCTTTCCTCTACATTAGACACCTTGGGTGGAACTAGCTTCATTACTGAACATAAGTGCAGCAAATTTAGTCTGCTCCAGCTCATCCCTCTTTGTAAAGAATACAACTTATTTTTGACTCTGCTCCTTGCTGTCCATAGGCAGACAACTTGAGGGCTTAGTGCATCTCTTTCATTAGTGAGTACCTTTATTTGAAAATCTCTTCCTAGGGAAACTTGAAGATGGGATATAACAACAAAATTACCCCTCATCCACATGCATTGCCCTGGGAGCTTATGGGAAGATTGATTGCTGCTGCTGCTGCTGCTATTTGGAAAGTCTCTCTGTACTCAACTCTGTAGCCAGGGATTGATTTTTCTGCACCTTTAATGATTTTAATTACACTGCAGCTCTCCTTAGAAATAAAGTAGCAATTATGTGGCAGTACAGTTATGAACAATATCTCATCATCCAAGGAGCCCTGGAATGTGCAGTTTCTTCCCTATGAAGTCTGGGCAGGTCATGAAATGTAGGGTTCAGCTGAGGCTGCTGAGCTGATTTATCTGAATTCTCACTTTAAAGCCTGTCCAAAGAAGGTGGCAGAACAAATAGCAATTTCTGAAGAGCATATGCTAAAGGCTCTCACACTAGGACTGGTACCAGGATTACAGTCAGGTATGCATGGGGGTGGGAGGATGAACGGATCATTGTTTTGATGATCCATTTATCTTTCCACCTCTCATCTATAATTTCCTTACACAATGTAGGTGAGATTCCAGTGTGAACTTAAATTGGGAGCCAGATGTGCCTTGACATATCTGATAAACTCACTATGAAGACTGTCAGGGAGTCATCCGAATGAAAGTTTTTGACTGGAGGAGAAAAGCTTGACCAAATAATCTTCAAGTGGATGGGACGGCATCCTGCCTGACCTAAATAACTGATTTGAGCCCTATGGAGGACTGCAGTGGAAGCTAATGAAGATGTTTTCCAGCAGGGATCCTTGAGATGTGGAGACAGACTTCACTGCATGAATGGCTCAAGTGACAGAGGGGACTCTGTAGCATGGAAAGGAGAGGATTCTCTTCTTTTCCAAGGAGACCGTGGATATAAGCTTCAGGGTACTGAAGATTCTAGAGATTCCCTCCTGCCAGGGCAGCTCAAGTTTAGTCACCTGCCCCAGTGAGTGGTATTGTTGGCATTTGCAGCAGTGCAGACAGCAAAGCCTCAGAGGAAAGCAGGAGCTGGGCATATGCTCTGCTTTTGGGTGGCTTTCACAAGAAGCACAAAACAAAAAACACAAAGGCTATGCAGGAATACCCAAGTTACCCCCACAGATGCCAAGACACAGCTAGGATACTCTAGAGGGATCTTCAGGACTGCCATTAGCCCTGAGGAAGGCTTCTATGAATTCAAGATGTCCTTCTGGGTGATTGTAGCTCAGTAGGTGCAGGGGTTTATGGAAATTTAAAAAGTTCTCCTTCCTCCATGGACATAATATATCAAAACTTGGGAATGTGGAAAAATTGTCACTGAGCATTTTTTCCATGTCATACTGGAGCATTATCTAATGGTTCTGCCTTAAGGTTCTTGGGGAATGTAATGCTGCTTGACTGACTTACTATTTCTTAATGGTAAGAGCCCAAGACTGTAAAGTTAGGTATTAATTTATAGAAAAGTGATAGCATGCAGAGTATCTCTGTCCCATAGAGAAGACAATTCAAAGATTGTTATTTTTTTAACCCTCTTGGTCATTAATCAGTTTTCCATCTACCTTAGCCAACTTATTCAGCACTTTAACTGGCTTATATACTCTTTTTTTTTTTTTTTTTTTTTTTTTTTAGATGGAGTCACTCTCGTCATCCAGGCTGGAGTGCAGTGGTGCGATCTTGGCTCACTGCAACCTCTGCCTCCCCGGTTCAAGAGATTCTCCTGCCTCAGCCTCCCAAGTAGCTGGGATTATAGGCATCTGCCACAATACCCGGCTAATTTTTGTATTTTTAGTAGAGATGGAGTTTCACCATGTTGGCCAGGCTGGCCTCGAACTCCTGAACTCAGGTGATCCACCTGCCTTGGCCTCCCAAAGTGCTGGGATTACAAGGGTGGGCCACTGCACCCAGCCTTATAAACTCTTTTGAACTAACTTTATTATCTTGTTTTGAAGGAGTTAAATAATACTTTGATGCTGCTTACTATATTTTTATAGAGGATTTAGGTTTCTATCATTTTGGAAATACACTTTGCCAAGGCAAACACAGATTTCTGCCAGGGCACATGGCTTGACAAGTAAAACACAGGCTGCTTTTCAGCTTCTCCTTGGTACTTTGGGTGGGCACCTCCGGGAACAAGCTGCTCAACTGTACATGGCAGCCCTGGGTGCACTAAAGATCCTAAATTATATGAATTATAGGGCAAGCATCAGTGAAACTTTGCCTACAATAGTTAGCATGACTCCTGATCTATAACTCAATTTATACTTTTTTTCTTCAAAGAGTCACGCTGTACATATCCTTGTTGTGGGAGATGACATGGCCCAGGAAGGGATAGCTAAGCCAGGCTATCTTCCACAGCAGGGCTATGTAGAACATAGCTGGTGTTGCTTTAAGAATAGATAGATCACTATAAACATTGGTGGACAAATGTGGAAGGTGAGCATGCTTTGGTTCTGCTCTTCCATGGAAAGTGCCCCAGTATGTATATGCATACGTGTTTGAAGTTCCTGAAGGGCACGAACTGGACGATGTCTCGAAGAACAGGTTCTCCCTTGGGTGACCTCAGAATCCCATCATCGCCATCCAGCATCTGCATGTCACTGAAGTCAGCGTTTCCGACTCCCACGATTATGACTGACATGGGGAGGTGGGAGGCGTGGACAATGGCCTCCCGGGTATCGGCCATGTCTGTGATGACGCCGTCTGTCAGAATCAGCAGGATGAAGTATTGCTGCAGTCACATGCCCAATGACGACAGGAGATGAAGAGGTGAGAGAGACAAGGGACAATACAATACCAGTTAGACACCCAGGTAGCTTCACTGCCCACTGAGCAAAGCAACAGTGCAGACAGACATTTTTTGAGCTTCTGTGCTGATAGTCCTAAAGGCTTAGGTTTTTGGTGAATGGAGCTTAAAGGTAGGCACAGTAATTATAATTCAATTATAATAAGTACCTGACTGACAGTTACAAAGAAAGAGCAGCAGACCAAGAGTTAGGAGGACTGGCTTCAGAGCTTCATTCTGTGAGAACCTGGGACAACCCCTTAACTCCTCTGTGTCTCAGCTTCTTTATTTCTCAAATGGGGGTGGGACTCAACAATTAAGATGATTCCCTTTGCTTGAAGATATTTAAAAATCTAAAGCTGTATATCCAATGCAATCATGGCTAGTCCCATGAGACTACTCAGCCCTTGGAAATGTGGCTAGAGCGAGTGAGGAACTCAATTTTATATTTTATTTAATTGTAATGCATTTAAATTTAATGTTAGAAATGGATAACCAATTCAGTTATTAGAAACATTTTAAGTATGTTTGGAACAACTTAAGTACATGAATCTACTTTTTCAACTATCTATGAAATCTAAACAAAGATCAAGTATTTATGATGAAAACTTAGCATCCAAGTTGAGACGCTGTAAATATAAAATACATATGGATTTTGAAGACTTAGCCCACAAAATAGAATGCAAATTATTTCATTAATAATTTTTATATGGAGTACATGCTAAAATGGCAATATTTTGGTTATATTGGGTTAAATAAAATATATAATTAAAATGGCTTTCTCTGTTTCTTTTTACTTTTTAAAATGCAGTTACTGAAGAATTTAAACTTGTGTACATAACTGGTGTTACATTTCCACTGGATGGCACTAGTCTAAAGTCCTGCTATAAGACGGTCAGGGTGCAGTCTCTCCCTCTGAAGACCATGTGCCACGAAAGTGGCAGCCCTTCTCCAGGCATTCTTGCAGAAGCTTGCAGTGCTCCTGTGGCTTCCTGCTTTAAGTCCTGACTTCTGGCCTGCAGGCTGCCTGGCCCCTTTGCATCTGGAAAGCTGGAAGATGACTCAGCTGAGATGGGAATTGGAGGAAAGGTGCTACACTCAGCAGCACAGGGAAGCCTTGGGAAGTGCTTTGGGGTCTGGAGAATGATGACCCATTGGAGGTCATCACTGTTGTTAGTCAACATGAGAGGTACCATGGTGGCCTTTACTGGTAAGAGGAGAGAGAAGCAGATTAGTCAGATATAGCTCAGGCTAAACAGAAAAGAACTTTCAATATAATCCTGCAAGATGCCCAACATTGATAGGGAGTAAGAGTGAGATTAAGCCATTCCAAGTTGCCATATTTCAAAGGAGAAAGACTGGATAGAAGAGTGACATTTTGAAAACATCTGGTTTTGAGAATCATATACTTAAGGTTGCAAGTAGTTGTGTAGTGCTAAAGAGTCTCACTCATTGTTTTTTTTTTTTTTTTTTCCCTGAAAAAATGTTTTAAAAAGAAAAAATGTGAGCTAGAGACAGGTGAACTTCACACTATTATGAAGATAGCCACATGTTCTGAATGCTTTTCATACAGTCTAATGTAAAGGCCAATTCTGTTCCATGTCCATTAACTAACCACTCACCCCTAGTCCTAGCTGAATCCCCAGTATGGTTTGCAGATTCATTCAAGTTGTATATTTCCATTGATGTCTGTACTTTCTGAGTTTTATATGTTCCCAAGGAAGTTGGCTTGAGAGTTTAGAGAAGGATCTCAGTAGGATGAAGTGACGAAGGAGGTAGGAAGGTGCAGAGAGAAGAGGCAGAAACAGGCAACATTGGTGGTATGGGGATAGAGGGAATGAGTATAGAATATACCAGAATCAAGCCCAGAGGAGCTGAAGATGATAATGAAATGCAGGGAAGGGCCAGTGGACTGAACCAAAGGCATGCAGTGACTGTCGTTCTCTCTAGAGACCTTGGGAATTCTGATCTTTTCAAGTAGAAGAGACTTCAAATTATAATTAAAACAGGTATACTTTATTTTCTGGTGTATAAGATGTGCAATATTTAAGATATACACCAATTTTACAAAAGAAAATTTAAAGTACTTTTCATCATATACATATGAAAAATAGAGTGGTTTCATATACACTTTTTAAATAAGTATTTATTGAGTGTGCACTATGTGCAGGCACTGTTTCGTGTTAGGGATATACTAGTGAACAAGTCTTCTTATTGTAAAGTTTCCATATAAAAGCAGAGAGACATGGCTGGATGCAGTGGCTCATGCCTGTAATCCCAGAACTTTGGGAGGCTGAGGTGGGCAGATCACGAGGCCAGGAGTTTGAGACTAGCCTGTCTGACATGGTAAAACTCCGTCTCTATTAAAAATGCAAAAATTAGTTGGGTGTGGTGGTGTGTGTCTGTAATCCCAGTTACTC